TTAATATTTGGGTGCTGTCATTGGTTCTTTTTTGACAATTGACGCGCGAATGGGGCGTGTTATGAAAAGGGGCGTATTTCAAAATACCGGGCGATGGTTGCAGGCCCACTATCAGTTCCCTTGGGCCTGCACGCAGGCTACTGTGGCCCATGCTATCAAATCTTCCGTCTTCAGCCCAAACACCGTCCTTTATTCCCTTTAACAGGTTAATTAACGCAGCTCGAGATTTTTCCCAGTATTGAAGTATTAAGGGGAACATAAACTTTCTTTGATGATAAAAAATGTTCTTGCAAAGTATATTTTGAAACCAGGGTGCCTAAAGAGCAACAGAACTTTGCTAATCGAGGATCCAGACATAAGAACAGCAAAACTCAGCAAAATATTGCCAGCACGATACTTTCCCAAAACCAATGGCTGACTTCTCCACGTATAAGAGCCTTTGCATGATTTACATGTTTGTTCGATTATTGCCATTGTTCCACGAACTTTCACATTAGAGAGATTTAGCTTCACGTTTTCGTCGTTGAACGGCAAACCGGAAACTGCGGTAAGAGGTCTGCGGTTTGCAGTCCGAGGTAAAATGCTTTTTGACATTTAGCTGTCGGTTCAATATGTAAACAAACATTTTAACATGGCGGCATTGGCAAGGTAGTTTTTATGGCCTTTTATGTGTTGTTTTTATTATTTTTATTTAAATTTGGTGGAACAAAACCATTAGATAAAAGACATTTCTTGTTTTCTTTTTTACCAGAAAAGACTACACGGATATAACAATTCTAATGTTACTTGAGAGTGATTCTGACCAAAGTAGTAGAGATGAAGACGATCTTGACATGGTACTGTTTGAATGCATGTTTTGATCCTCGAAATTTAGCCTTCCCCGATTGAATCTCGAAGACCTCGACGACTGGCAATGTGAAAAAAATTTCAGGTACTTTTTATTGCAACAATAAAATTAAAATGAATAATTTGTTATTTCGTTTTAATACGTATTATAAAATTTCTATAATTTTCGTTTGACTAGATTCAACAAGAATGACATGTCAAGCGTTTTTGCTGCGTTGAGGATTCCCGAGTATTATCAGGCTGAACAAAGGACAAAAGCCTCTGGTATGGAAGCCCTCATGATTCTTCTAAGGCGACTTGCTTATCCAAACAGGTCGTGTGATTTGGTGGGCATTTTTGGAAGGAGTGAATCCCAACTTAGTTTGATTTTTAAAAAGGTATTCAACTAGTGACAGAGTGACATTTAAATTGCAAACAAAAGAGCATAATTAAACTAACTCAGATTTATTCTGACTTTGCAGATATTGGATGACATGTACAACCGCTTCAGCCATCTTATTGACTCGTTTGACTTAGTATGACAAGATCCAGAGTGCTTTGCCCAAGCAATTCATTTTCAATGAAGGTGCACCACTCACTCAGTGTTGGGCATTTATTGATGGTACAGTGCGACCAATAGCGCGACCACTAGTAAATCAACAAGTGATGTACAGTGGGCACAAACGGGTTCACTGCATTAAGTTTCAGGTATTGGATGATTACTTACTGCATGACCAAAGACATAATCCCAAAACTGTTTGCCTTGAGTTTTACGTTTATTTGCTGGGCCAGTGAGAGAATTTGCTGAGCATGGGGCAAAATTTTCTCCATGGGCCGTCTAGAACACCTTAGGTGCAAGTGTTCTAGGGGGTGGAACATTTTTTTATTTAGGTTCTCTGAAATGCCAGAGACCTTAAATTGAGAGAAAAGGGTCCTCCAATTTCCGAAATGTTCTCAATCTCAAAACTGACATTTACATCAACCCCTACATTTTCAGGGGCCTGGTCCATTTTATTTTAGGGTCCCTCCCAAGTTGGAGACCCCTAATTGGTTAAGAACCACAGGTCCTTAACTTAATTGGGGCCCCCAACTGGGAGGGACCCTAAAATTGAGCAGGCCCCGTATCAGCTGCCCTGCTCATTTGTAACTCTCTAGCACTGTTTTAAGAAAACAGCGTTTTCATAGGATTTCTTTTCTTTTTAGTCAGTCCACGCCCCAAATGGCCTTATTGTCAACTTGTTTGGCCCCATAGAGGGGCGAAGGCATGATGCCTTTATGCTTAGTATGAGTGGGCTTTGTGAAAAATTACAAAATATTCAAACACCCGATGGTGAGCCGTATGTCCTTTATGGAGACCCAGCCTATGGTGTTAATGGACAACATCCTGGCCCCATATCGAGGTGCACAATTGACACCTAATCAAAGTGAATTCAACAAGCGAATGAGTAAAGTTCGTGTTAGCGTGGAATGGGGATTTGGAAAGTTGTGTCAGTATTTTGTATTTCTTGATTTAAAAAAAACCCAGTAAATTTTGCTTCAACCTGTGGCAAAATACTACATGCATGGTTGGAAGTGTCCTAATTAATTGCCATACCTGCCTATATGGTTCTGTCACAAGTTCATTCTTTAAAGTTCAGCCCCCTTTGTTAGAAACATATTTATCAAATCAGTAACAGTTTTAATTAATACAAAATATTTATGGAATAACAATATTTATAAAAAATATATTAAGTATTTGAATAAATATATTTAAATTATTTTAATAACAAAATCTATGAATTAATTTTTACATCAATGTATGATAAAACATTTGAAAAGTGAAATGTACATGTGTTTAAAATAAAGCAAATTGAAATGCGAAACTTGAAATATTAAAATTGAAATTATTTTTACACTAAGAACGTTTCTGTAACAACTCAATGAATGCTTTTTTTTCTTCCATTTCCAGCTGAAACTTTAATTTCCTCTCTTCAGCCTCAGCAAGATATTTTTCTCGTTGGAAGTCAAGTTCCGATCTTCTTAAATTCAATTCTTTATCTTTTAACTGGGCTTTTTGTTTATATTTATCAGTAAGAATCTCAAGTGCAGTAAGCTTAGTTGCCCTTCTACATACTTTTCTTTTTCTACCTGTTACAAATTAAAAAATACAAGGTTTTGGGTGTTTCTATGCAAAGCAATGGAACAGATGTTTTAAATGCATAAAGTTCATTTTTTTGCTTTTATCTAAATTACAAGAACTATTATTCTTACCTTTCCTTGTTTTCCTTACCTTTCCTTGTAGTGATGTTTTCTTCACTATCAAACATTTCATCTTCGCTTGCGGTATCACTACTTTCATAATCATTACTTTTTCTTCCTATAATATTAAACATAAACTAGAATTTACCATATCAGGAACATAACCAATCAACATCCCAACAAATACGACACTCAAACACAACCAATCAACAACTCTACAAATCACGAGACACATTTAATAGCCAATACATACTACTCATTTCAGTGAGTGTCGCATCTCGCATTTCCTGGCCTTTTTTCTTTTTCAATTCTTTTTGATTTTCTTCTCTTTTTCCTTTGGTCTTGAGATCTTCTTGGTCTCTTCTGAACATGCAGATATCTTCCAAAAGCATGGTGAGCTCAGTATAGTCTTCTTCTGTGCCAGACCTTAAATAGATGAGTTTCTTATGGTAAAGATCTCAGTTCATGACATATCACAAACATCTTTCAAAAATGTTATATCTCAATGACATCTTGCCAAACAAAGTGGTGTAAACTGTAGAAGAGAAGGGGCTTTGGGGCCAGAGCCCCTTGCTCAAACTATGGGGGGGGGGAGGGTTTGAGCCAGTGACATACTGGCTACTGTGTAGCTGGGGGCATGAATCAATACTGCATCCCCATAGTCTACCAACACACAGCAGCATGGCCTGGTCCTTAGATTGGTGGGGGGTGAAGGGCAAACATCGAAGGCATGAGACATGTTTATAGGGGAGGGGCCTCCACTGGGCTGAGCCCCCTACTTTTATGCAAGGGTACTTGAAAATATATCATTTTTGCATGTTCTCATTCTCAAATTATCACACTATGACTATTCCATGAGTAATGAATATCATATAACCATGGGATTGAGGGTTTTTATTACATCCTAGTTCATATTTGTGCGGATATCTATTGTTCTCAATAGGGTTTTATTTGGGTAAGAATCTAAAAGCAAGGGGAGGGATTTGATATCTCCACAAGGAAAAGCGGGGTTGAATAGAATTGAATGCCTCAATTAAAAATGCAATGTATCTAACTACATAGTGACCCCTTTTGGAGGTCACTATGGAGTTAGATACTTTGGATTTGTAACAAAACTCAAACCACACATCTCCTTTTCGACTAGAAAACGCTGCACGTCTCTGAGTCGAGAGAAAGAGACAACAGCCGTGTACCTCAAGAGCCCGTCAAACTCTACTTTGGGTAGAGTATTTATCATTTGGTGCGCGAGGACTAGCTGAACCAACCATCAAACTTGCTTGTGCAAGGAATTTATACAGTAATATCTGCTCTTTCGCTTGTGGGAAGCGAAATGATATACTACGCATGCTCAACCACATTAAAGCGTGTTTAATGCGCATGTTCAACCTTATTTCGTCCCACAACCACAACCTCCCGAGGACAATAGAAAATGGGTGTGATAGATATATAAACGACATAAAAACCTCATGGTCGTGCTTTCATTGAAAGACCTCCCATTCGGTTTTTATCCTTTTTATAAAACCCTGTTGAGAACAACTTGAGAATCTCTGCTCCGACAAAACCCGTACAAATCTTCGTTAGCGCTTCTCGGTTGTATGAACTATTTCAAACATATTTCATCGTCATTGTGGTTGGTGAACGAATATTTAATCACTTCTCGTAGACAGTATACAGTAGTGCGACACGAGAATTGATGCATATCAAATGGGAAAGCCCTGTTTGTTTTTATTACAACCATGGTAATTCAAACTCATTTAATTTAAAGAACAATACATATCATAAAGTAAATTTCATTGTGGGTCAATCTTTACAAATATGAACTAAGTTAGTTAGATACCTCAAACGTCGGCTCTTAGTCAGATAAATCCCTCGGGGCATGGACTTTAACAAATGTCACATGCACGAAAACGTGGTTCTATAGCCAAAGTGACTTACTTTCCGGAAGGGTGTATTCTAAATATTTTCAATGTCAATGATTACTTTTTCAAGGACATCTTGTCATCTTCTTTGTGTTTTGTAATTAGCCTATCCATTCGCTCCCTGCAGTCCCGACCTGTAAAGTCAATCTTTTTTTCATCTGTAGGTTTAAATTAACCTACCTTTTTGAGCTTTTGATTCTCCTTTTTGAACCCCGTTATTCGCCTATTTCTATCTAAAAGGCGCTGTTTTTTATTTGATCGGATCTTTTGTAAATATTTAATTCTCTCCTTTTTCTGGCCACATGTGGCACAAGAAAGCGACTCCTGACGGTCCTGTGACATGAAACTTTCATGCCCTTGATTGACAACTAACAAAACAAGAAAACAGAAACTATTTACGAATAGCCAAACTATTGCATTTGTGTCTATGTGCAAAATAGAATTTACGACTCACCTTTCTCTTTGCACGCGAAGTGCTTGGCATTTCGTCCAGAATGACCGTATATCCTTGGTTGGAACGGACCCTTGTATTAGGTATCTTGCCCTTGATTTTAGTTCGTCTGGTACCCCAACGTGATACCTTGTTGGAAAAGAAGAATTCTCCGAATGGGCCGAGCATATTACAGACGAACTGCTTGGAGAGAAATTCGGCCGAAGTCTTTGTACAAATTTTATCCTTTTTTTTCGTAGCTCTTCGTTCGCAGGAAACTTGTGCATTGATATCCCTTCAATGTGGTATGTATTTGTGTAACTGAGCAATCCAGGACCTCCACAAACTTAATATTTACCCTTTTTCGCTCTCTTCGTGCTGGAAGACATGCTTGTTGGATTGAAAATGCAAGGGTACTCTCAAAACGCAGGGGTTTTTATACAAATGTAGAGTGCGTGCGTTGAATAGGTGTAGTTTCCTATAGGGTGTGTATGCACGTCAACTTACGTGAAAACATATAGCTTGACTGATAAGGCGAGAAAGGAATTTCGTTTGACGCAGTAACCACAACCAGTGACTAAGGAATAAATTGCGCGAAAACAGGATATAGATAAGGCAGGTTTCAGCAAACGCAAATGGACAAATACATGAAACACCTGAAAGCTGAAGCGTAAACAAGCAAGGAGCTTTCTGTGGTGAAAGTATGACGTGCGAACTAGGGTATTTATAGTTCCTAGGTTTATAGTATATTGCGTTCCGGTGTACTCAACTTCGTTTACTTCAATTAATTTAATTTCGCCTATTCTATCATAGTACGGACTATATAAATCCTAACACTGTCTCTGTCCAACTATCTACAATGGACTATAGATATACAACGAAAATACTATACAATATGCCACAACAAACGACATCTGAACAGCGTCAATTTAAGCTGGCTAATCTATAAGCGAAACCTACACTGCCACCACAGCAATGATTTTGCAATTCGGCGGCTTATAAGCGATAAATCGTCGTATATGATGATATCATTGCATTTATATCTTTTCTAGAGTTCCAGTTTTAACTAGACGTTTTTAATTCTTCAATCACATGATTATCCGCAAGGACAAAGCGAGAAGCCACTGTTTTATTGCTCTTTAAACTGAACAAGAAACTTCCCACTCTTGCTTCTCAGTCAATCAGGTATACAAGTATAATTCTGCCCCGAATTAAAAAAAATAATTAATGCCCTCCTCATTAACCAACCATATTTGAGTGCTAATTTTGCCCTCTATTTGATTAGATGAATAATTGTGAATTGGAAACAGTTATTCACAATGTAGATTTACAACTATCATGAAGACTTATTTCTTACGTTCACATACATGTACCAAAAGCACGAGCGAGTGAATTGGTAAGCACAGTTTACATTAACAACCTTTTGCGACCTTTACTTGCCTGAAAACTGTCCACAGTTGTAATATTGATATTTTTCAATTTAGTAACATGCTCTTTCCTTGATTTTGACGATTTCTCTTGAAATTTAGCTTTCATTTTTTCCACCTAAATTAGTAAACGGATGTAATTTAGTTAAAAGTCAATATATGATGAATACGCTCATGTTTAAATAGGATGAGTAAAAAGTACATGACCAGAAATTTAAGACACGGATTCTGAGCATGCCTAACGAACAAAATGGCATATAAATTATAGGCTATATAAACCATAAGCAGTGATTAATAATGGTAATTGAACTGAGTGGAGTGCAATTTAGACTGCAATCAAACGCGTGATTACAAAATCACACGACCGCGAAGCGGGAGTGCGATTTGTAATCACAAGTTTGATTTCAGTCCAAAATTGCACGACACGAAGTTCAATTTCCACTTTATTATATTCATTTTGAAATCTTAAATATTTTTGTAAACAGGAGACATTTCTGTTTGCAAAAGACACACCTCCGGTACCTCCCTGAGTGCTGTAGTATAGCAACAATAAGCGAACAAGATGAACTTTAATAGTTTTGTAAGTTTTGTTTATAAATATGTTCAAATAATGCAAAAATCGTAAAGAAATGAAGACATTTATACAGAATAAGAGACAACAAAGTAACTTTAAAGATATTGTAGGTCTTACGAGTGATTGGAAGAGTTTTGGTGCAGTTTTGTGCGTTTAAAATTCGAAATACGATAGGCGAATTTACCTTTGTTTTCCCGTAGTCCTGTCTGTCCTGACGCTTTAAATTTGCTTTTGTTGGCATTTTTGCCAGTTGCTATTTGTGAAATTTAAAATTCTTTGCAATTCTTTGATAGTTTACTGTAGCTATCCATATTTTTTTGTTTTTATGTGCAAAAAATTGCTTAGGCACTCAAGAGTAATCATGACATGTTAAGCCGGTTTTCTACTAGGCGGAATTTTGCGCGCGGAGCGGAATCTTTCTTTGTCTTTTCTAATTAGTTCCGCCCGAAAATCACAAGACAAAGAAAAATTTCGCTCCGCGCGGTGTTTTATACAAGCAGGTTGACGGTGTAGCAATGGGTTCACCCTTAGGCCCATTGTTTGCCAACATATTCCTATCTTTTCATGAAAAATCCTGATTAGCTGACTGCCCTTCTGTTTTTAAGTCTATATTCTACCGTCGGTATGTTGATGATTGTTTTCTTATTTTCACATCACGCGACCATGTTACTCCTTTCCTTTCCTATCTAAACTCGAAACACCCCAACATTCAATTTACTCATGAGCTTGAAAGTAATTCGTGTCTTCCTTTTCTAGACGTCAAAGTTATTCGTTCTAACGGTTCTTTTGCTACCACGGTTCATCATAAATCTACTTCCACGGGATTGTTTACCAATTTTGACAGTTTTATTCCAATGCTGTACAAGAAAGGTTTACTTTTCTCACTTATCTCTCGTTATTTCAACATTTCCTCTTCTTTTGTATTTCTCCACTCGGAAATGGAAAAATTCAAGAAAACCTTCTCTCTTAAAGGTAGGATACAGTCCCTTCTGCGCATGCGCGGGCTTTGTCTACGTTTTTGTTTTGATCCACATTAATTATATAAGATGAAGTATATGATGAGTTCAAAACACGTTAATTGCCATTCCACATAATTTTCGACCGATAAGTGCAATGTTTCACGGCTTCGCTGCATAATTTTCTTGTACATTTGTACAATGGAAATTCTCGTACAGAACTCACAATCTTATACTGTAACTTTTTATTTAAACATCGCGATTAAAGAGGCCGCTTTGAACCTTGTGTGACTTGATAGATTAACAGCTGGGGCGGCGAACCGAAATCTCGAAGGTGTGAGTTCGAACATTAAATTTGTGTTTACCTTTGGCCAGTGAGTTTGTGTCTAATCATGAAAATAGTTCATGCGGTATCACTCCCTCGAAATATGTTGCCAGAATTGTTGTTGTCATTATGACAGAAGCACTTGGGGAAAGCTTTTCGCTTGACGAATTCGAAACAAGTGTGATTGAGAATGTGGCTGCAGTTCCTGTCTTCGTGGTAAAGCCAAGAGGCAAGGGCGAAATATTTGACCGTGCTGGATAAACAGCTTTCGTTCAAGCTCGTGCGCGCTATGGAGATGATTTCGGATGCTGTATAAACAACAGAAGTGTTCAAGAGATTGATAGTGACGAGACGCTAAGATTATATTCAACTTTTTGTGTTATAAAATTGTATGTTTTGAAATTATGAACTGGAAGTATGAATTCATTGATATTACTCTCATATTGACACTATAAAATGATGACAATCTTATATTGACACTAAACGATCTAATATTAACTTCAACAATTCTGGTGATGTTGGTTCAACATGTCTCTTCAAGACGGAGGACAATTGCTAAATATAGGCCTGTTTCGCTCTATATCAGAGCTCATCAGAATGTCCAGGAAACACTGGTGAAATTTTGATTTACATGAACGAATCTTTATTTTTTAACAGATTTATTGGGTTATATGGAAATACAAATAATTTATAAACAATTATTAACACACATATACAGACATTAAAAGAGAACTCCAAGGGGATAAGCACGAATATGACTCATGGGCTTATGCCCCCCTGAAAATACTGAATATACTAAATATAATTACACTTTGTGACATGAACAGTTGAACAGTCAGGTAAGCATCATTTACATAAGAACCTGTTTAGGCTAACTTGGAAAAAATCTAGGTTCTTATATTCAGGGTTTTGCTGTGTTGTCTAATTTCATGTCACAAAACGGACCATGGCAGCCTGTTCTGACAAATATTAAGTGATGGTGCCACTCTTTGTGACACAAAATCGGAATCATAGTACAATATGAACTGGCTAGTGTACATTGGCACCTTATAACCAGATTGTTTTGTGTAGGTGGAGCTCATAAGCCTTGGCAGGCAATCCATCTAGGAGAAAGCTCTGCTTTCCATCTAGGAGAAAGCTCTAAATTTGTCTCCATGTGATAAAATAAGAACCTGAAATGCTAGCCTAAACAATATCTTATTTAGGGTGTCTTAAGCCCCGTTTACACTACGCTCAATTTTTGGTACGGCACGGATAAAATTGGTACCCGTACCACTTTTTTGGCTCTTGGACTACCTATTTAAGTAGTCCAAGAACCAAAAAGTGGTACGGTACCAAAAATTGAGCGTAGTGTAAACGGAGCTTAGCTAAATAGGTAGTCCAAGAACCAAAAAAGTGGTACGGGTACCAAATTTATCGGTGCCGTACCAAAAATTGAGCGTAGTCTAAACGGGGCTTAAATAAAAAAAATTAGCCTGACAAGTTCTTAAATTATAGGTTCTTATATGCAAGCTTTTACATACAATTAGGGTGAAAAAATATACTAGTAATTATTAGTTGAGTTTGTTTACATCATATAAGTTGCTGTGATCACAATCTTTTATAAACTAAATGTCTTAGGCCATGTTTATATGGAGGTGAGCCAGCCCGGTTACCTGTGCTAAGCGGCTTTGCCGAGCTGATTTCATTCTGTGGCGGGCTGAATCACCAAAACAATTAATTTTGAAAAGTATAGATCAAATGTCTTACAACAATATATTTGTATTCAGCGGCTTAGGTGAGCCAGCCCATGCACCTAGGTGAGATCTGTTTGGGCTTCACAAATTAAGCAAGATCTCGCTTAGGAGAGCCAGCCTGTTTCCCATATACTGTAAACACAATACGAATATTGGTATAAATTATCTAGCAACAATATTAGATCTTGGCCAAGCGAGCTAGCTCAGGTACCCGAGCTGGCTTGCCTTCATATGAACACTCCATTAGGTCTTGCAACTCAGATTATTAACAATTATTAATTATTAAACAATTATTAACACACATATACAGACATGTAAACTGTTAAATGCTTTGATCAAATTAAAATATACTTTAATTGATCAGAGAAACTTTTTATGTGTTTCTATTAAGTGAGCACAAGTTGTCCATGAGAAAACAGTCAAAAACAGTAAAGCACAGCCAAGTAGATTAATTATCATTTATCACTCTGACAATAAACACTATATAAAACAACCATCCAAAACATGTTGACTCTCTAAATGGCAAATTGCTCAGTAATACTTTCATCGACAACTCCTACTCACGAGTGTCATATCTCTATAGGCCTTAATTATGTCATGGGTTTCAGTTTGTAAATAAAGTAGATAGAACAGTTCGTATACTAGAAAATACATGATGCAGAAACCCTCGCCTTGCTGACAAAACCATTGTATTTTCCGAACATGAAGTATCTAAAGTAGTTGTCATGGTAACACTATAATTTTTTTGAGAATATTCTTACAAATGAAAAATCGCCTAAAAATATCACTTTTAATTACAAAATTATCAATTTCCCAACATATGTATGTTACGTATGTTATTATACGTAATATAAGCTTCAATTTGAGGTAAAATTCAACCACGAACGCTTCGCAAAACGTTTTAAAGTGTTCTTTTAATTTAATTAAATGGCTTTACCGATAAACTTTGATTTTGCAATAAAATTATTTCAAATTCTCGCTTGCAAATAACTTTGCTTTCTTTTTTATTTAAAAAATTCAGTATAATAAAAAAGGGAATCAATATTAAAGATACACTAAAATTATATATCTGTCCTGTTTAGTTTCATATACGCAAAGGTCCCCAAAGGCCGTCGGGTTTTGAAGCAATTACGGTATAAAATCAATATTTAAAACTAACTTACCTTCGTTAACGTTGGCTCGGCTCCCTTCTTTTAGCCGATTCTTTCGCCCTTTCTTTCTTGAAATTTACAAAATCTTGCAAAAATGCGAGCAAAACTGAAATATATTTGCAAGAAATTTATCAATCATCAAGAAATGTTTGCTATTTCGCTGTCGTCATGCAGTCGTTATAATGCAAACTTTAAATTGGACCAATCACAGTTTTCGCTATTCATGACAGTCCGCCATATTTTTGAGATCAGTGAGGATGACCACCCACACACAGTTAGCCACGCCCGCGATCATTGGTGAACTTCCTACTTCGGGGGGAATTAGTACCCTCGCACGGCGCTTCGCCCCGTTGGCTCGGGGATAACGATAATGTATTAAAATAGTGTATTAAATAAAGAGAATTTTATAGTCATTAAAACCTCGATTTTGATGGGCTTCAACAAGCGAT